TTGAAAGGAACTGAGAAATATTTTAAACACTACAATCTTAGTTCTAAAGCCCCAAATAGCAAATACTCCATAAATGAGAACTAGGATGTATTTTCTATCTGCAATAATTATCCTGCTAAAGTTCAGAAGAAATGTTTCATAGACTTCTTTTGTTTAACGTCTTATGTCTTTCCTCTTCTTTTGCTCTAGATATATTAAAAGATTATTCTGAAGTTACAAGGAACTTTTGAGAAAAGGTAAAACTAAATATTTTCTACTTTCTTCGTATCAAATAAGTATGAAAGACTGACTATAATCATCTATATTTCAGTAATTCAAGCTTATGCTGTAGAACAGTAATTGTTTACAAAATGTTTTCTACTCTTGTCCTTAAAAAGAAAAATCACAGCAATGTGATCTAACTTTAATACATTAACTAAAAAGGATAATCCCTTTATTCTTTATGCTCTAAAACTGTGCAATTTCAACTAATTACTGAAAACAAATGGATCTAGATAATAACTAGACAGCTCTAGAGTATTAGAGCTAGGGTCAAAAAGTAAAGAGAAATCAAATGGTAAATAAAGGACTGTATAAAAAACCAACAGGAAGTTCATTCTGAAGAATTCAAACTATTGACAAAATGTTACCTAAAATTTCAGGGACTTTTAAAAAAGTGTTTTAAATTGTGGTTAAAACATATAATATTTACCATCTTAACCATTTTTAAGAGTACAGTTCAGTAGTACTAAGTACACTCTCACTTGTGCAACCAATCTCCAGGATTATTTTTATTTTGCAAAACTGAATCTCTATACCCATTAAACAATAGCTCCCCAATCCATCTTCTTCCTCAGTTCCTGGAAACCACCATTCTTTCTAATTCTATGAATGTGACTACTCTAGGTACCTTACATAAGTAGAATCATACAGTACTTCTTTTTGTGACTGACTTATTTCACCTAGCACAATGTCCTCAAGGCTCAACCATATTATGGCACGCTTTTTAAGGCTGAATAATATTCCATGGTATACATACACATTTTGTTTAGCCATTCATCCACTGATGGACACTTTAGTTGCTTCCACCTATTGGTTATTGTGAATAACGATCGTAGGTGTACAAATATCTCTTCAAGGAGGCAATTTTTATAGTAATGAGTATCTACCTCAAATTTCCTCACTAGTAAATGGAAAATAACAGTAGTGCCTATCTCATATTTTTTTATGAGGCTTAATTCAGTTAATATGAGTGGAGCGAATGAAACAATGCTTTCAAAAGTATTAGTGCTTTCATGATCATTAATATCATCATCATCAACTCCTGACCAGCACTACTACGAGAAATGTGATGCATAAAGGTAATTTTAAGTTTTCTAGTAGCTACGTTAAAGATGGCAAAGCAGGGCGATGGGTATAGCTCAGTGGTAGATCACATGCTTAGCATGCATGAGGTCCTGGGTTCAATCCTCAGTACCTCCACTTTAAAAAAAAAAAAAAGAATGCAAACAGGTAAAATTAATTTTAATAATATATTTTATTTAAGAAAATATCTCAATATTATAATTTCAACATGTATTAAGTATTTTTTTAAATAGTGAGATACTTTACATGCTTTTTGTACTAGTCTTTGAAATGTAGTATGTATGTTTACACTTAGAGCATAGCTCAACTCTGATGAGCCACATTCCAAGTGCTCAACAGTCATGTGTGGCTACCATATTGGACAGTGCACTCTACTTGTGCCAGGACAGTGCCAGACTCTACTTGTCTCATCCTGATTCACTATCATACTGATATGACAACAGAAACATTAAGTTTGATTAAACAACTTTTTCCCTCACTATAATCTATCTCAAGAATTTCTAGACAATTCTTACAAAGGTATTCTCCCCTAAAGTTAGAATCAATTATCCAATCCCAAAAAATCTGATTATGTGGGCTAGACCTACATTAAATGTTCCTATTATTTTGGGTCCCATCATTTTTTTATATTGTGCTCAGTCATTCAAATTAGATTTTTAATCAGTCACAGTATCTCCCTCTCTTTTCCACCTTGCCAACAAATTGCAGAGTACTTACGTTCTATTTCTACTGGCATATCTTCCTGTAAAATGTACTTTAAAATTAAAATGTACATTAAAATACAGATATTTTAAATCATCTAATTTATTAAGCTCCATGTTATTTTAATACTTAAATCAACTACTAATAGAAGGTAGTGACCAAATGACACATTTAAGAAAGGAACAAATATGAAATGAAGTATCATTCTGTTGTAAGTAAAACTACAAGTATGGAGATTTGAATTTTTATTATTTGCTACAAGGATGGAATCACTAGGGGGAACAGTGGCTGTAATGATACCAGGAGTATTTCCATAGTGAAAACTTATGGTAACAAAAGCTCTTTGGAAAAAAAAGTGAATTTATTCTTTGACAACATGCATAAACAAAATGCTTACAATAGCATTCCACTAAAAAGGTCATGTTGTATACTTACTATGATCAACTGTTTTTCATCAGCTTTCTCTGACTCTTTTAGTTTCAAGTCTTTCGGAATTGTTATCTCCAAATGCGAATCACACTTAGGCCAAGAATGATTTGGTGGTGTCGCCCTTAAAAAACAAACAACAACAAAAGTAGCTATTGAATGTTACAGTTCCACATCACTTCAAATCACTGGTAGAAAAAAAAATAACTTATTTTCTATACAACACTGACAAATTTCAACTCCAAGGAGGGGAAAAATAAACTTTTAAAACCAAAAGGGGGAAACCCAAAGAAATTACTAATTTTCAACAAATTAAAAATTGAGGTGGAAGGGTATAGCTCAAGTGGTAGAGTGCATGCTTAGCATGCATGAGGTCCTGGGATCAATCCCCAGAACCTCCACTAAAAACAAATAAATAAACCTAATTACCTCCATCCCGTACCAAAAGAAAAAAAAAAAGAGAAGCACCTACTATAATACGAGGAAGTTTTACATTTTATAGTTCTAGCAATTTGAATAGGACAGTTTGTCCTAAATACTGTTTTCAGTAATCAGTAAAGCCAAACAAGTCATATTTTATTTAATTCTGAAATAAAAGAAAGAAGAACGGTTTTAATCTACTGAAAACACTTTTACGTGTTGCTAATATTCATATCATGAGGGTTTTGGGAAAAGTAGCATTCTCAAACACTGTTGTAGAGAATATAAAGACACAAACCCTTTGGAGAGAAATTTGGCAAAGTAGGTTAAGCCCTAGAGTTATGAATTTATCCTATATATAGTCACGTAAGTGGACAAAGATGTATGTGTTTATTTCAGGATTTTTTTTTTTGATAGAAACAAACCAGAAACAACCAAAGTGTCTATGAAGTAGAGAACTGTAATATAAACAATGGAATACTCACACAATGAAATCTAATACAGACTTCAAAAGAATGAGGAACGAAGGTAGAAAAGATGCCCATAACACATTAGGTAAGAAAAATAAAAACTACCAAACAGTATGTATAGGCACAGAAAAAAGTATAATGAAAAGAGAATTTGTGAGTACCACTGTCTTTCCACATGAAAAAGTGACAGTTACTAGTACAACCTTTCAGGTAAAAATCCCCCAAACTCAAAACTTATAGGTATAAAAACCTGAAGTTCTCATATTTGCACTTATATTAAACTAATACCTTACCTGTTATCACTGATCTTAGATGTCTGATTATTGATTATACTGTGCTGTTTGGGAGCTGAACCTGTAATTTAATCAAAAGATGGTTTATGTACTCAGCTTTGCGCTAGTTCTCCATCTAATGGTCCAAGATTACCTTAAAGAAAGAAACTCAATACACTAAACACTTTATTTTTAATAACACCATTTGATAAAATTAGAGCCCCTTTCCTA